CATCCTGCAAAGACTGGGAAGAAGTCACTGTAGAGACAGGCATGCCAAATGGGATGGTCTGGGAAGGACAGGACAGCCCAGTGAACTGAGAAACACGTGACGTGTACCCAAAACCATGATGTGGTTTCACACCAGAGAAGCTTTGCTTTGCTGGAAGAGGCCAGCAGGAAGAAAATCAAGTACTGTACCCACATACAGACAGTGGACCTTGCCAAAGTTACAATGGCCGCCCCCAAACCACAGGCACAAAAGGATAACGAAAAGCTGGCCAACTCATCAAGAACTCAAATGAATGGAGATAACAGTTCATTAGAGTGCTGCAATGTTGATAGAAACATAAATCATGATGAAAAACGTTTAATGAGGGTACCAAGTGGGTCACGGTAGGAAAACATTTCATATAAATAACATGGATCAATGCCAGTTGGTCCATCTGGCCAGACACACAATGAGTGCAGCCTCTTTATTCATTAGGACATCTGTATCTTCCTGTGTCAGCAACAAACTGAAAACTCAGTTCTTGCCAAAGACAACATGAACAAAAAAGCTTGACGTTTACAAATAAACAAACATACAAGGACACTTAAGCTTTACTCTCACCAACTATTAGTTTAAAATTATGTGATAATCGTAACTGAAAGGTCAACGTAATGTTATTCTTGACATACTTTATGGACAGAAAAAAAAAAACATTTAAAATGACCAATTATATCACAGCTGCCAATCTGTTGTATTTGGGCAAAGCTGACATGAGTCTTTTTTTTTTTTTTTGCATTGATGACAAGCCATTATTATAAGAAAATAATAATCTACAAAAAATCATTCTACAAAAAATCCTGTTATTGATAACCAGAACTGATTTTTAATTGTTTTATTTTTGCTTTTTTACAATAATAACTAGACAATCATTAGACTATGACAATAAAAAAAATTCTGTTGAATAGACAACAGTATAATTGATATTCTACTGGGTGAGAATCACCAGCATTTATCAGCTGACCCATATTAAAAAATAATAATAATAGCGCAAACAAATACAAATCAAACCCATTGTAATTAGTGCTTAAATACCAAATTATGTTAATTTTAACAAATATATTTTTATGGGTCACATTAAGACACCTTCAGATTTTAGGCTTGACAAGAAATAAATAAACAAAAGTAGTCTTGTATCTACTTATATGATTAATAATTATTATCCCCCTTATGAGGGGATTTAAGTTTTTTTTCCCACCCACTATTGTTTCAAGCTTAAATGTTAACAACCTATTCTTCTACTAGCTTAAGACAGGTAAACTATAGCTTGACATTATTATAGACAGTGGGGGGCAGAATCAGATTAACATAGCTGAATGCAGCATCCCTGAGTATCTGTGTGAATGCTTTTCTAAAGGCGAAGAGAATGCGTGAAAAAGACATTTGTATCCACCCGTCCTCTTTCTATGTCTTTCCTCAGGCAATTTTTCTATCTCCACCACTCCATCCATCAAATAAACCATGGAGACTTATCTCTCCATTACTGCATTATGTCTGTTAGATATATTGCACAAAGATAATGCCTAATCTTTTGATAAGCACTACTGGAAAGAAAAGTCAGTGGTCTCAAGTAAAACTGTAACAAAAAAGTGCTCTATTTCCTATACACATTTGAGCTACTCTAGTGTCAAACTGGTAAAATGAAGTCAACATGATAAGTTTTACCAAATTATAGTGTTCTGGCTGGTGTTTTAAGGATGGTTGGAAGAGTACTCACACATAGCAGGGTCCAAAAGTCTGAGACCATACAGAATACATTTGAACGTAATTTTTTTTTTTTTTTAAGTATTAGACTATAAGAGAATGCAATAGTCTCTCTCTTTTTTTTTTTTTTTTTTGGCGCATACAGATTGCTAGTATATACAAACTTTATGGAAACTTTATGGAAACTTTATGCAATGCTTTATGCATGAGCACCTGGAGTGTCAAGTAGCAAGATTTTCTTACCCAAGGAAACAAGGAACTGGTTGTTCCCTGAACGGGGCGGAACGCTCGATGCATATTCTCAGCACCCTAACAGGGCAGAGAAGGTTAAGCTCCTGATCCTCCTCAGGAGGAGGAAGCGCAAAGAGAGTAATAACCTGAGCTCAATCGTCCTGTTTGCCTGAGAGAGAAGGTCCTGCCTCAGGGGAATGGGCCACAGAGCTGCTATCAGCAGCTGAGACAGCTCTGAAACCCAAAGCTGGTTCCTCCAGAGCGGGGCCACCAGAAGGACCCTGTGTCTGTGTTCCCTGACTCGCCTGATTACCTGAGGAATCAGAACGATCAGGGGAAAAGCATACAGGAGGAGGTTGGGACAATCGTGGGCCATTGCGTCCTCGCTCTTCAAAAAATAAGTTGGGCAGTGAGTTTTGTCTTTTGAGGCAAAGAGGTCGACCTCTGCCCTGCCAAAGATCTCCCAAATTCTCTGAACCATTTGTGGGTGGAGCATCCAATCCTCTACGTTGCTCCGAGATAGCAAGTCTGCTCCTTGGTTCAATATACCGGCCACATGTGCTGCCCTCAATGACCGCAGGTTGAGATGTGCCCACTCCAATAGGTGTTTTACCATCTCGAAAAGGCGTTTCAAGGTGAGCCTGCCTTGGCGATTTATACAAGATACCACTGTTATGCTGTCTGAACGGACTAGCACATGGTGTCCCTTCAGGTCCGGTAAGAAGGTCTGGAGGGCTCGACATACTGCCGTCAATCTTGAGCTGACTTTCTGCATCCGACCAGGAGCCGAAGGTCGGTCTGCCCTCGCACAGAGCTCCCCAACCGGTGTTGGATGCATCTGTCGAGACAACCTTCCTTCTGTGAATCATGCCCATAGTCACGCCCTGCTTGAACCACTGTGGGTCTTTCCAAGGGGCCAGAGCTGTCACACAGGCCTGGCTCACCCTGACACGCATGCATCTGTGACGCCATGCATGGGGCGGAATTTATGGTTTCAGCCAGTACTAAAGGGGTCTCATGCGGAGCAGGCCCAATTGTAGTACCGGCGATGCAGAGGCCATGAGGCCCAGCATCTTTTGAAACGTTTTGAGGGGGCGAGAGGTTCCGATTTTGAAAGAAGCCGTGAGCTGTTGTACGGCCAGTAGGGTTGTGACGGTGAGGACATTTTCCCACCGGTTAATTGACGTGTGACAACACCGATAATACCGGTATCACCGTGGGGGAAGGGGCGTTCCCTCTTTTCCTCGCTTTCCTTCGCTTTTAAATAGCTTGTAAAAGCAGCATGTGCATTTTACTTTTACTTTCAAATAGCGGCAATTCGGCGTAAAGCAACTGTTTTTAGTTCGTTTGAATTTTCCCTCGCTTTCCTTCGCTTTTAAATAGCTTAAAAGCACCATGCGCATTTTACTTGATTTAGCGTCAATTCCGCATCAATTACAACAACAAAATACAACGTCAAACTCACTTTAGCCTATATATAAAACATAGAACTTTTATTAACAAAACGAATAAAAATACACCATGCTATAGGGCAGGCTATGCCTAATATAAAATAACAAATAACTTGCATAAAGTTTAAATAGGTATACAAAACTGGAAATAAGTAATCATGTATAATATATAACCAAATAAATAAGAAACAGAACATTTATCAGCAAAACGAATAAGAAAGCTTGGAGGCATGGCATACACCTTGATGTCAAATAAAATAAATAAATTACACAAAGTTTAAACAAAGTAAAAATCAGCAAACACTGTGGAACCAATTAGGCTAAATAAGAAACAAATGTTTAAAAAAACTTCCAAAATCACCTTAGATAAACGGCAAAAGTCAACAGGCTTTTCAAAATCCAGAATATTGCCAAACAGGCGCTTTTGCATTTCGTTTCGAAACTAAATCATCCGCCATTGTGATTTAGTGCATTGCAAGTGATGTAACCGTTGGTGCGGCTTATCAACGGTATCACCGTCAGCACCGTCTATCACGGCAAGCCTAATGGCCAGTGCATGTTCTGGCGTGACTACCGCCCTCATGTGGACTGAGTCGAAAACTGCCCCCAGGATGAAGTTCGTTGGCTGGGAGACAGTGAGCTCTTGGCAAAATTGACCCCGAGTCCCAGGCACTCTAAGTGGCTGAGGAGGAGGGACCTGTGGGATATTAGCTCGGCCTCTGACTGGGCTAAGATGAGCCAGTCGTCGAGGTAATTCAGAATGCGGACACCCATCTGTCTCAGAGGGCAGAGAGACGAGTCCATGCACTTTGTAAAAGTGCGAGGAGCCAGGGACAGTCCGAAGGGCAGGAGCGTGTGCTGTTATGCCACTCCCTTGAAGGCGAATCTCAAGAATCGTCTGTGATGGGGGGCTACCTGGATGTGAAAGTAAGCGTCTTTCAGTTCTAGAGAAAAAAAACAGTCCCCTGGGCGTATTTGCAAGAGGATCTGTTTCAGAGTAGTCATTCTGAACGGCCGTTTCATGAGGGCACAGTTCAGGCGTCTGAGATCGAGGATGGGCCGGAGGCCGCTATCCTTTTTTGGGGACGAGGAAGCCTGACTTACTCGGAGTTGGTGGAACCATCTCTACGGCTCCTTTTGCCAGTAAATTCATCACCTCGGATCGTAAGACGTGAGCATCCTTGCTCTGCACTAAGGTGGGAACCACGCCACTGAATCGCTCGCAGCTGAGCGCTGAGTCCCCCTGCCCCGCTGTTTTTTCCTCACAGGTCCCTGGGAGGAAGAAAACGGGAGGGCGTGAGGGGCGGAGTCGCTCTCTCAGAAGAAAGTGATCCGAGCGCGCAGAGAGGTGAGACTCATGTTCACGCAGTGTGAACAATCCATCTCGTCAGAGCGGCATCTGCATGGGGCTTGCCCAGACAGGAAACGCACTCTGAGTGGCCGTCGTCAGCGTGCAGTGCAGTCCTGCACGAGCCGCAATGACGGCGCGGCATTTGAAACAACGCCACTGCTCTTTTAGAAAATGAAATTTGCTTTAAGCTCACCAGATGGCGGCAGGGGACAAGCTGGTATCTGCGCAGGACTCTGAGGCGGCTCGGAGAGCGGGTGGGAACAGCAGAGTGGCGCAGGCGAGTTAGCTTCTTGTCCGCAGCGAGGCGTGTCAACGGTGAGCGCTTCAAGTCCCGTAGATCAGCGAAGATCAGCGTAGATCGTTGTCACTGAAGGAGAATTGATCTGAGATCCTATAGCGAAATGCCCGCTTATATAGCCAGATGGCCCAGCCCATTCTGGTGGGCTTCGTTGCCATAGGCTCGTGCAGCTCCGCTGCCGAGCCCTTGGTTCGTTTTTTTATTTTCTGCATGAACCAATGGCT